ATATAAAAAATCAAAAAGAAGTCATAAGTGCCACGTGTCATTTTCGTAGGGTATAAGACCCTATTCATCATCTTCTTCAGAAGACACAACCCTAATCGCAAGACACACAAAACCTAGCCGCCGGTAACCCTAGCCACCTCCATACTCATCCTCAACCTCCTTCTCTTTCGTGCTGTTTCTCCTTCATCATTTTCCATTTTCGGAACATCATCATGTTCATCATCATGTACATCACCTCAAACCCCAAACTGTAACCCTTTCATCATCTTCTTCATCCATTCATGTTCTTCTTCTTCATCAAACCAGCTCAAAACCACCCCCACAAACACTACCCGAAAACCAACAACAACAACTTTGTTTTCTCTCCTTCAACCTCCTCACAACGACAAACCCAAACTCCTTTCTCAAATCTCCTTCAAATCTTACCCAAACCCTTCATTTAAATTCCATAACCCTTTTTCTTCATCTGAAACACACGCCTTCATCACCTTCAAGTTCATTCGTAACCCCAACAAACTCAACCATTTTTTCCCACCTTTTTTCGATTCTCTTCAAAAACCAGAACCGCAACCCTTTTAACAGCTTTTTCACCACCCCACACACCGTACGAAGCTTGACCATAACCCATGAATCTCAACCTTTCCTCCTCTCTCTCACTGCCGACTATCATCAAACTCATTCCATCAAACTTCATCATCCCCTCTTCCACCAAACAACCCAGGCAATCTCAAACCTTCAAACATCAACCCACTTCATCGTTCTCTCTAAACCATACCCAGAAGAGAATGAGTAGGAGAAATGGTGGATTCGAAATATAAATAGGTGAATCCAGATTATGAAACCAACTGACCGAAATTGGGAATGCACAAAATAGAGCGGATTGAGATCGAGCGATTGGGTTTGTACATGAATAAGGTGGTGTTTTCGTTGTTTCATCGTGTTTACCGTTTTTCTTCACGTGAGATTTATGGGTCAGGGTATTTTTGGACTTTGAGGATGGCTGTGTTGTTGGGACTCACCCTATTTTTATTCTTTTGATTAAAACAACCACTTTTCTATCGTATTGCCCTCTTGGAGATGATGGGCTTTATAGAGCCTAGATGATTCTCCATTTCATGTTTCACCCCCCCCCCCCCCCCCCCATTTTCTATAAAACCCCCCTGTCTTTTTTTTTTTTAATGTAAATATTATTTTTGTAAATATATATTATTATTGTTAATTATTATGTATATATTATGTTGCTGCTTTAATTTTCCTTTTATTTTATGTAACATGTTTATAATTTATATTTTAGATTATTAATTTCTTTAGAGTTTGTATATATATACTATTCTTATATTCTATTTTCTTTTAAAAAATTTATTAGTTTCTTTAGAGTTTATTATATACAATATTATTTTAAGTTTATTTTTTTAATATAGTTTTAGAATCTCTTTTTTATTTTCTTTGTTTTATTTCTCTTTTCTTATTGGACATTTTTTGCCTTTTAGGTCGATAACGAGATTTCCTTCGTTTGTCCGTCAAATTGTTGACGAGAAACGATAGATCCAAGACCCACCACTTTCCATCTCGTATTTTTTATTACAATTTTTATTTTCGAACCGATGAAGTCTCCGATTCGTCAAATGTTAATTCTCGAGGATTTTGAAACCTTCGTTATTTCAAATCTAAGGAGAATGACCATTTGGGTCATTTTCCTTACTTTGGGATCGCGAGAGGTTCCCTTCGATTAAATTAACTTGAAGTTTGCGATTAAGACGAGGTTTGAGTTTTCTCGACTTCCTCCATTTCACCGATTACTTACTCCCGACTTTAATTTTCTGTCAATACTTCATTGTTATATTTCCGCACATATTTTTCTGTTTATATTTTTATTGACTTTATCTTGTTCATATTATCATCACTGTTCATATTATCATCACTGTTCATATTTCATACTGTCATATTGTCATCTAACCCCCTTTTATTTGTACACTCTTTTAAAAAAAACTTAATAAATATCGAAACCATAAAATCCTAATTGGTGGATTGTTGGTTATCTATATCCTGTGTATATCTGTCTCCGTTTTTCATCTCTTTGGCGGGTTCTCAAAAATCCCTTCAATAAAGGAATCGAGTTCTCTTTGTATTGAACTAAAGAGAGAGGATTAAATGTAGACTTCTTCCTCTCCGAGTGTCGAGATGCTCACTGTAGTGTGGGTGGTTTTGATACTCTTCTTTCAATACGAAGACACTTGTATTCTTCACACCTTCTCTCCTAAAACATCGGTCCCGTATCGAATGCATTTTCAAACCTTTTTCTCCTAAAAAACTTCGGTCTCATACTGAGTGCATTTTCCAGTTTCCTTCAATTAGAAAATCAAGCTCTCTTTGTATTGAACTAAAGAGATAGGATTGAGTGTAGACTTCTTCCTCTCCGAGTGTCGAGATGCTCACTGTAGTGTGAGTGGTTTCGATACTCGTCTTTCAATACGAAGACGCTACGTTCACCACAACTCTTTTCATAACTTCTTTCCGCAACCTTTTTCCCTAAAAACCTCGGTCATGTACCGAGGCCTTCTCCTATCCCGAGTGCTTGACATTTACCGTAGGGTTTACCATCGCAAATCATTTACCATTCAAAACCAAAAACATCTTTTAATAAAGAGAATGAAGTTCTCTTTGTATTGAATTAAAGAGAGAGGATTGAGTGTAGACTTCTTCCTCTCCGAGTGTCGAGATGCTCACTGTAGTGTGTGTGGTCTTGATACTCGTCTTTCAATACGAAGACGCTACGTTCACCACACCATTTTCATAACAAAAACTTTGAGGTAAAGAATTGGGTACTACCCACAAGGGGTTACTATCCGAGGATATATCTCACCCCTAAAAACAATCTTACCAATCAAACGTGACTTCTTGCCTCGCATGGCGAAAATCTCTCTTCCAAAAAGGATATGTTACGTCCGTTCTACCGCAAACAGGTAACGCCTAAGTCTCCAAACGAGCGAGCAGTAATACACCTAAACTGCTAGAATGCGCACAATAGCATCATCCACAAAAACATTAACAAATCGTAGGCCGAACTACGACTGCTCTGATTCTTTACTTCTTGTAAGTAAAGATACGTAGGCACGAGGGCCCCAATCCTCACCGAGCACACTTCCATCTTTTACCCGTGGTTCCCCGAATTACGTCGACTCTGACTTTCTCATATCTATTGAGAATACGTAGGCCTAGGACCGCGAAGTCCTATCGAGTCCTTTCTTCCCCCGTTACCTCTCTTTCCCTTGTTTCTAAACCTTTTCTCTCTCCTCTAGGAACACTCATAAAAAGCAGTATATTTTAGCAGATAAATTCACACATACGACAAACAAATGGTTCCCCTCGAGTACGATGGATGCGAGGGGTGCTAATACCTTCCCTTCGCATAACCGGTTTCCGAACTCGTTCTTTGGTCGCGAGACCATCTTATCCGTTTTTCTTAGGGTTTTCTCGATATTTTCCTTTCTCCTCATGAGATAAATAAAATTCGGTGACGACTCTTATGTCCTTCTTTCTCGCCTCCCCGTCGTTGCATTTTTCGAATAGCGACAGCAATACCAAAAAAATTGGCGTTTGACTTTCTTTGAGTATGATTATTCCAACATTTTTAATGCTTTACTAGAGATTTTTCTCTTTACAAATCTACCTTCTTTTTATTTTGTAGTGTTTAAAGCTCAGCAACAATTATACTTGAATATCAAATATAAAAATACGAGTTTGAATCCGCAACAATCATTTTTTTCACTTTTAAAAGATAAACTCCAAATACTAAGCTATTTGGTAAAAAAAATAGTCTCCGTTGATTTTCTTTTTCATCACAAGTTCAAAGTCAATACAATATAAACTTTACAATATAACGTTGATACATATTCGTCTTGTTTAAAAGAATGATTTTATTTTAATGAGTAAAAACACATTAGAAACACAACATCCACTTTGGTCAGCAAAGATAAAAAGAAATGCTTCTTGGCAAAAGAGATAATATCAAACTTTCGAAAAGGAAATCTATATGAAAAGAATATTTCGGATTCTAGTATTATATGGAATGAAGAGGAAGCACTCACTCACACATTCAGAGGTGTTTTGTTGTGTTATGTGGCATACGTGTATCCGGTGAAACTTATCAGTTATATCAAAACCATGTGGTGAATAATTAATGTAGAGGCCAATCAAAAGCATATTTCACACTAGACAAGTTATCATTTTAGTAACCACCACTTTCTGTCGTTTCCTTATTGATAGCAAAGTAACTAATATTTGCCCCAACAAGTTACCAATGTCATATTTGCAAAAATCTAACCGTCCGTGTCAGGGGTCTGGATATAGCTAACCATGCTCTATAAGTCCAATTTATTTTAATTTGGAGTTTCACTCACAAGACACCGTTTGTAGTATCTTTTGTTTTTGATAGAGAGTAATGACTAAGAAAGCATCTCCAAAGCAATACAATGAGTACTAGTAATAATTAGCTATAAAAGTAGACAAGGAAAAAAACGGTACTACATGAAAATAAATAAAATAATAAAACGAATAAAGACAGAGAAAAAGAGACTAAAGTTTTTGATGTCACATAATAATATTTTGTTCAATAATAACATCATTGTTCCATTTTTTTCAAGAAAATTTATATATCAATAGAAAAAAGAGAGACCTACAACCTTTGTAGCAGACCCCACTTATAATTATTACACCTCCCTTTTCTTCCTCCAACTCATAGATCTACACCTCCTTCTTCTCCTTTCTTTGCTTTCTGTTTCTTTCACATTTATATCATTCTTCTTTCTATACCATATTCATATATCTATATTTCTTACATGATTAATTATTTCACCGACACAATAATAATCAACAACATTTTTTAAAAAATATATAATAATTATTTCACAAAAGCAAAAAAACAAGAAAAATGAGAGAAGGTTCTTTTTTTTAAATCTTTTTTGAAAATGAGAGGCATGTGATGTGATGCAAATTGCAAATCAAGCGGAATCCTCGGGTAGTTCGTTACTGAGAGGATTTTCCTTTTTTACCCCTGACTGAATACCGTAATAACGAACGTACCACTTCACGAATTTTCTCAAACCCGTTGAGAGATCCGTTGTTGGTTTGTACCCGAAATCTCTGTAAGCCAATGTCACATTCGCGTGCGTGTACGGAACGTCGCCGTTTCGTGGCATCTTGAGGATGTGTTTCTTCGCCTTCGTGCTCAGCAAGTTTTCAAGAATAGATACAAGTTTCCCCACTGGCACCGGCGATGTGTTCCCGAGATTGTAGATTCTTAATTGCGCCGGTCCTTTCTTCTTTCCGCCGCTTCCGGTGCTTTTCTCCGCTGTGTCCAAAGCTCCTACGCAGCCTTTCACGATATCGTCGATGTACGTGAAATCACGCGCGACTTCCTTCCCTTCCTGCGTCTGGTAAACATCGATGGTTTTTCCATGAAGAATATCTTTGGTGAAGAAGAAATACGCCATGTCTGGTCTTCCCCAAGGACCGTACACCGTGAAGAAACGGAGTCCGGTGAGGGAGAGACCGTAGATGTGATTATAAGTATGAGCGATTTCCTCGCCGGCTTTTTTAGTTGCGGCGTAGAGACTCGCCGGTTGATCTGTCCGGTGAAGTTCTGAGAATGGATTCTCGGTGTTGAGGCCGTAAACTGAGCTTGATGAAGCCCAAACGATCGCCGGTTGAGGATTCGCTGCTTTGGAAACTTCTAGAAGATTGACGAAACCAGCAATGTTGGATTTGATGTAGGATTGTGGATTTTGCATGGCGTAACGCACTCCGGCTTGTGCTGCGAGATGAAGGATGTGAGTGATCGGAACTACATCGAAGAGTTTTGTTAACAACGGCGCGTCGTTTAGGTCACCTTCCACTATGAAGATTTGATGCTGAGTTAATAAAGCTTGTCTCGCGCGCTTCAACGACGGGTCGTAATAGGTGTTGAAATTATCTAAACCTAAAACTCCATCACCTCGTTTTTTAAGAGCGAGGGAACAGTGAGAACCGACGAAACCGGCTGCACCGGTTACAAGCACAGTGAAACCATTAGGACGGCGCGGTGTAGCGGAGTGACGGACTTGTCGTTCCCATGCACCGCCTCCGCCGAATGCGGAGGTGAGGAAGTGGGAATGGGTGTGGAAGTGGTGGTTGGTGGAGTCGGAGAGTGGAGGGTAATTGAAAGTGAAGAAGAAAACAAGGACGAGAGCTATCAAGAGTGTGGCACGGAAGAGAAGTTTGGAAGATGCGTTAAGGAGTTTCGTGCTGTTAACTTTTCTGATGTAGCTATTGTAACGTTCAAGCTTTACGGTTTTGCTTGTGTCTGGTGGAGAAGCCATTTTGCTGTAAAGGCAAAAAAGCTGCAAAAATGGAATATGATTGTGATTGGATTTGGGATTTGTGATTAAAGAAAGAAATTGGTGACGATGGGTGTCAGTGTTTCTTGTGTTGGAGTGAGGAAATTGTATTGTTTTTTATGATAGGAAAAAGGGTTACCTCTAAACGTGTGAGTTTGTGTGAGAGCTTGATTTGAGGTTGAGCCCTGAAGTTTGAAGGTGTGAGAGGATTATTAATATAAAGGGAAGGAGAGAGGAAAGAGAGAGTGAGATGGGTTGGTGTTGGTTGGAGACCACTTTCTTTTTCTTCTTAACCCTTCACACCATCATAAACACTCATGGAAAGTGCTACTAGTGATAGAAATAATGATACTTAAGAAATGTTAACTAAGCTGAAATTAACTTCTCTGTTCTAATTTTGACTTAATCATACTTCATTTATTTATTTTTTTCTCCAATATATTTGGGTAATTTTATTTGTGATAATATGAAAGTATAGTTCATTTGGATAAAATTTAATTCTCATCGACACTAAAGCACTTTGTTTTAACTTTAAAAAAGTATTCTTTTTTATATATTAAAAAAATAATTATAACATTAAATAATATAAACTTACTTTTTTCGGAATTAGTAATATTATAATTAATCTAAAATTAATCTAAAACCAAAATTTATACACAAGACAATTCTAAATAATTTAGAGTCTATTTGGTAACAATAAAAAAAAGAGCTTTTAACTTATATTTAAGTTTTTTTAAATTAAAAGTTCTGTTTAATAACTGTATTTTAGCTTTTAGTTTATAGTTTTTAACTTATTTTTTAAAAACTATTTAAAATAGCTTATGAACTTGACTTTTATTTCAATTATATTTTTATTATTTTATATATATATATATATATATATATATATATATATATATATATATATATATATATATATATATATATATATATATATATATATATATATATATATATATATATATATATATATATATATACTTTTAAAAAGGATTAAGTTTAGAAAGATTTTAAAAAATATTATAGAAGATTTTTTTTTCTATTTTATTAGATATTATTTTTACTTATTAAATATTAATTATATAATTAATTTAGAAATAGTATTTACAATTCTCAAGTTAGGAGAATCAATGAAATTAACAAAGGTGAAAAAAATTTAGAATATTATTACAATTTTATTATAAAATATTAGACTATAAACTTTTTTTTGTTATTATTTTAAATTAATATAACTAAATTCAAAATTACAATATCATTACTTTACATATTTTATTAAATTTCATTATAAAATTATTAAAAAAAATTTATGAAAGAATGAGTTTTTACTTTTATGTCATCATAAATGGATTTATAAAATATCCCTACTTCATGTATGGTTTATTGGTTCTTTTATTCATTAAATTTTGTTATCAATATATTCATACTAAATAACAAAACTCATAAAACATATATACAAATTTATATATTTTGATGATATCTTCAATTTTTCATATATATTAATATTAAAATTGTTTTGCATGTTGTTATTAATACATTTACTTTTATCAAATAAAATTAAATTTAATAATATAATATAATAAGATAATGAAATCACAAATTTCTTAATTAAAAATGTCCTTTTAGGTCATTTTGTAGTTATCAGCTAGTATAATAACTAATTTACCAAATACTCAAATTAACTTATCAGCTACTAGTCATCACTATAAGCTATAAGCTATTAACTACCAACTACCAGCTATCAACTATAAGTTAGTTTTACCAAACAGAGTCTTAGCCTCAATCAATCAGACAAGTAAATATTCTCAATCAGAGGTTAATCTTAAACGAACTCATCATCAATCTCGTATAGTTTGTTTGAATTGGTTTTTGAAATACCCATAATTAATTTTAGAGGTGTAGAATTGATTTTAAGTGATTTTGAAGTGTTTGTTTGATCAAAAGTAGAATTGATTTTACCTCCAAAATTGATTCTACTTGAAACTAGAATTTGTAGCTTCTATTTCCAAAATTGATTATGATTGATTTTTACACTGAAATTTATTATTTAATTCACTTTTATATAAATAAATGCATTCAAACATAAATCATGTTAAAATCAACTCTACCAAACTCAATTCTTCTAAAATCAATTTTGTTCACCGCCAATCCAAAGTCACTTGTAATATGCTTTCTAAGTTTAGAATTATTTCACCCTTTAAACTAACGTGTCTATAATCTTTCCTCTATACTTGTATTATTTATATTCTTTCCATAACTCATATCATTCTTATATTTTCATGCTCATACCCCGTTTTCACCAAGATTGCTTAAATATTTTAGCTTTCCACCCTTTTAGTTTGCTATTCATAATGATTTATTAATGTTCTTGTTTCTATTCCCTTGGTAAATGTGGCATTTACAGCTACTATAATACCTGATTTCGAATGTGTTTCATACATGAACAACCAAAGAGAAAATGTATCATTTTTATATGTATACAAAACAGTAGTAGTAATCATTGTCGATCAAACTAAATTATAAAAGACTTTTCTCCATTACAGAGTCTGATAAGTCTCATTGAGGGAGTAGTACATCTTCTTTGTTAAAAACTTTGCACTCAATTGAATATTATTCCACCCTTGTATCTACCTGAACCACACTCCTTTGATTGAGAATTGCTTTTAAGATTCATGAGCAAAGTTATTTTTCACTTGAAGCGCCATAAGTTTATCGTTCATGATATAATTAGGGGTGGCAAAATGGATGGATTGGATGGATATGGATTGGATTGCTAATGGATGGATTAAAATAATCCATTAGTCCATTAAAATCCATTAAAATTTTATTAAAATTATCCAATCCGATCCAATAAAATTCATACAATTCATTCATTAACATATTTTTAATGGATGGATATCCATCCATCCAACTTTTTTTTTTAATTTCGTAAAAATAAATATTTTTTTTTCAAAAACAAATTAGTTTTTTATTCTGAAAAAAAAACGATTTTTTTTCCCAAAAAAAAAGTCGGTTTTTTTTTTTCGAAAAACAAATCAGTTTTTTATTCTAAAAAAAAAAACCGATTTTTTTCAGAAAAAAAAAGTCGGTTTTTTTTCGAGAAAAAAATTTATTTTTTTTTGAAAAACAAATCAGTTTTTTATTCTGAAAAAAAAACCGATTTTTTTCCAAAAAAAAGTCGGCTTTTTTTTCGAGAAAAAAATTTATTTATTTTTCGAAAAATAAATCAGTTTTTTATTCTGAAAAAAAAAACTGATTTTTTTTCCAAAAAAAAAGTCGGTTTTTTTTTTGAAAAACAAATCAGTTTTTTGTTCTGAAAAAAAACAGATTTTTTTTCAAAAAAATTAAATTTTTTTTTTCAGAAAAAAAATATAATTTTTTAATTATTTTTAAAAAAATCTAATTTTAAAAAAATAAATCTAACGAAAATAAAAATAATCCATTGGATCCTTAAAATATGTTGGATGAATTGAATCAATCCATGCATATAAATGGATGGATTGAATCCATCCATGCATATAAATGGATGGATTTAATCCAATCCATTAACTTATTTTTTGTGTGGTGGATGGATTGGATGGATTTTTTGATGGATGGATTGGATGGATTTTGCCTTAATGGATTTAATTGCCACCTCTAGATATAATAGCTATCAAGTCCATACTGCCTTATACTTTAGGAGGACAGACTTGTTTCCAAGTAACATATGATTTTCTTGTGATTTTATTCCCTCGGGTCCAAAGAAATGATCCGAAATTTACATTATTAAAGATTAAAATATTTAAAATAACAAATTTTAAAAAATATTATATTTTAAAAATAACTTTTATTAAAAAAAACTAAAATTGTAATATCCAAAAATAATAATAATTAAAATATAAATATACTTGAAATAATATTAAAAAATAAAATTATTTATAAACAAAAATAAATAATATTATAAAAATTAACTTTTAAGAAAGTTGAAACAAACTAGTCCAATTTGTTTAAATTTTAATTTTACATCTGTAATTGATAACATAATACTATTTTGATATGAAATCAATTGAAACTTTTTTTAATAAAAAATTCATCAATAAAACATAAAATTACTCTTTTGAAAACTATTATTTTTATTTATTTTTTCCGAATTACAAATATTATATTATTAAATAAAAAATTTCACATTATTAATAAATACAACACTATTAATAGATATAATAAATCTTATAAAAAAACAAAAAACTGAATTCGAGAAGAAGAAATTAAAAAACAAAGGACACCGAACTCCTATAATTAAAAATAGAAAAAAAAAATACTAATATCAGTACTTACTAAATTCTAGACTATTTTAAAAGTTTAGTTTAGTTTTTTAAATATTTAATATCTATCTTATTATTTTAAAACTTTTAACTCTTACTTTAAAAAATACAAGTTTTCTTTAAAATCAATAAACTAATGTAAAAATCAAATTTTAGTCAAAAGAAGAAGAGAAAAAAAACGTATAGGAGAATTTAAGCCTATTAATTATCTTAACACAATTGTTCTTAATGATTGTAGAATGAGCATGTTTGTTTTGATTTTTTTAAAAAAATGATTTTTATAGTGTAATATAATTTTTGTGAAAAAAATATTTACAAGAAATTTTTTCATAAAAGTATTGGTTAAGAGTTCCACATCAAACAATACATGGCATGAACATGTGTTTATAAATAGAGGTAATCAAAATTTGAAAAATTAGTAATATTTTGAAAAACGATTTTACAAAATCTAATTTTGAAAATACAAAGAAAAAAAATCCAATTTTTAAAGTTAAAACAAACAGGTCCAATATAGGATATATATTATACGTAATAATATTAGGAATTTTTTATTACATCCTATAGGGTGGAAAAATATCTTATAGAAAATCTAAAATGCCTTTTAAATTTCAGATATGCATCTCTGAAACGTTAGCTGATTCGAATATGTATTTTAGAAATATCTTAACGCACTTCTCATGCATT